CATTCTGACTTCATCTCTTAGATAGCAAAATAACAGAGCAGGAAAGTTGCATTTTGATCTTCACAAGAGGTTAATCATGCATCAGTAATCTCTCAGTCTGGTTGACATTAGCCCTCCCCATTGTCTTCCATCTGTGCAATTCACCTAAGTGCACAGTTTTTCTTTCAGCCATATGACATTTTGCGTGCATGTGTGTGTGTGTGTGTGTGTGTGTGTGTGTGTGTGTTTGTCTGTGTGTCTGCAAGCATGCACACACGCCTTGTCATTGGCATGTATAGGCCGCACTGGGCACGATGCCAGCCATAACTCTTGAAGTTTACTTTCCAGCTTCTGGGCATGATTTGCAATTATAATGCTGTCATAGGCAAAAAAGAGATAAGCTAATTAATCATTGTTGATATCAGTCCTTATTTGCCAGATGAGTTTCTTGAACAGCAGGGCTGGGAATAATTTGCATCAGATTGTATTTCCTTGCTTTATGCCACTGAAAAGATTTATTTAGCATCATCATGGTCACCATGCATAAATATCCTGGAAGCCATGAGCTACAAGTGAATGGCCTAGATTCAGTCATTCATATTCAGCAAATCATGCATTGAGCACCTACTTCAGTATACAAATTGCATTGATAGAAATATTGGGCTTCTAGAGGCCCTTTAATAGCTTCTGTGGTCCAGGGAGCTCTGGTGGCAGAGTGGTAAAGAGCTGCGCTGCCAAATCAAAAAGCAGGTGGTTCAAATTTACCACCTGCCACTCAGGAGAAAGAAAACTCCTTTTTATTATCTACAGCTTCTGAAAACCCATTGGAGGGTCAGTTGTGAGTTTATTCCAACTCGACAGCACATACTAATAGCATGATCCTCTGAACTTGCAAGGCCCTCTGGCAATTAGCAGGAAAATAGAATGGGTAGTTTTCTTCCAAAGACTGTAACTGAAATGTTCACTAGTACCTAAACTCTGTGATTACTCAGACGGATGGCTCATCCAATGGGACTTTGCATTTGTGAGCTGATAAGCCAGGGCAACTGGAGGAGATTAATCTGATTGGCACCAGAATGAATCTCTGCTCAAGGGTCACCAGTCCACTTGCCTGGGGAGGATCTCTATTTGCGTCTGACTCAAATATCCAGGAACATTAAGAATCATGACAGCCAAATAGCTGCTCAGTCCCACCTACCCAGAGCCCTTTCTATTCCCTTAATATGTTTCTGCTTCCGTTCTTCAGCCCTGTTTTCCCTTTTGTATGCCAATAGCTTCTATTTTTACAAAAGAGCTCTGGTGGTCTAGTGGCAAGGCATTGTACTGCCAACCCAAAGGAATATGGTTCAAATCCTCAGCTGTTCCAGGAGAAGAAGATGGTCGGTCTCCTCCCATGTGGCTTACAGCCTCAGAAAACCCACCAGAGAGTCACTTATGAGTGGGAGTTCATCTCGACGGCACACAGCAACAACAACTGCCCTACTTATGTATAGATTTTGGTTAGCCAGCTCAGATTGTTACTGTACAAATACACTTGCCCTGTAATAAATACAGAATGAACTAAAACAATTACTGTTTACTGGGTATCTTTTATTGCCAGATATCATGTCAGACTTTTTAGGTAACTATTTAATTCTCACAAAAAATTCCTATGAGCTGAATTTTATCATCCATGTTTTAGGGATGACAAAACAGAAGTTTAGGAGGATGATGGCACTTGCCCAAATCTCATAAGCCCAGTCAATATTCAACACTGATCTCCTGGAGCCTCGGCTCCATACTTGTTTCCTGGAGGTCATCAGCTGATCTTTCTGGGCCAGGCTTGTCTACAATTCATTAAGCAGCTAACACCAAAAGATTGCCGGATCCCTGTTTCTATAGAAAGTGTTTCTAACAGCTACTCAGCAGTCTAACCAAAGCTATTCAACAGAGTATTTCTTAGCCTTGAGAATAAATTGTAAACTTCTCTGAAGCTTCAGAATAGCTTAAAATGTATTCATGGGAGTTAACTAAGAAATACCCTACTCGAAGTGAAAAGGAGTTGGGGTGATTTCTATGGGCACAAATAATGCTAGACAATTGCTCTGGACAAAGGATTTGAATGGATTTTGTCATTTCAGAAAAAAAAATCTACAAGTTAATCTTTACAACATTTCAATGAGTGTGTCTATGTCAACTCAGGGATGTAATGTTTGCTCTGTACTGCTGTGTACTTACGTCTGTGAGGAGATGGGTGCAGCTGCCTGAGGCTCAGAGTGGTGGTGGCTTCTCAAAGAAAATCAGGGAAAGAAAAGGAAACTAAACTTCATAACTCCAAGAAAAAGACATCTCTTTCAGGGATGCTCATCATGAGTTCAGGAGCTTCCGAAGAGACTGCAACTTTTCCATGCATTCCACTTGTCAGACTAATCTTTGATTCTTAATTTACAAAGATTATATTCTCCCTGGATACTGACTATAGAATGCTGGCTTCAGTAGTCATACAATTAAGGGAGGTTTAGGCTTGTTCTTATAAGTTAAAGCTAACCATCTCTTCTTATTCTCTTTAGACTTCAATATCTTCACCCATTCTCCTTAAAATACATATGCATGGACGCAAGCCAATGTCCTAAAAAACTGGTAGCCATTTCTCAAACTCACCTTATTGCTAGAGTTGGAATCTACTCAGAATTGACCCTCCATTGGGTCTCTGAGGCTCAAGGAGGAGGAGGCTGCCTATCTTTCTCCTGCAGAGAATCTCACGGATATCATCCACCAGAGAGTCAAGGCCTTTGAGTTAGCAAGTGCAATTCCTTACAGACGCGGCTTCTCTGTGGAAACCCAACAAATAGAAGCAAAAATGATGAGACATTGCCTCGTTGAGAAAGCAATAGGTAGAGAAGGGCATCATACTTGGTACATGGTACAAACTAAAATAAAATACTAAGAGATGATACCTTTACCAGGACCTTTCACACTACAGTGAATATCTACTCCATAAATTCACATCTCAGGAAACCCTCTGTGGCAGTTCTACTGTATACTCTACAGATAGTGTCTAGATGTTGGAATTAACTCCATGGCACACACCAACAATGATGCCTAGTGTTTATGTGAAACCTTAGTAATATCCATCTTTAACAGCGTTAACATCCCATGGGTGCAAAATAACTGATTGTTGAAAAGAGTTCCTAGGTGCCCACAGGGAATATGTGAGTAAAGACACAGTACACGGATGGGATGTGAAGTCTCAGTTCAGAGAATAGAACAAATATCATCTGGTGAATCTCTACTCATGGAGACTACTCATTCAGAATATGATCTTTTTGGAAGCATCATTTATGCCACCAGAAGATTTCAACAACTTTACAGTTATTTTGTTACCTTTGGATATGTTGTTGTATACTGTCAAGTCCAGTTGGCCTATAGCTGACCCTCTGGTGGGGCAATTAGTCACACAGGAGGAGATTGCCTATGGTTCTGCCCTTGACCAGCTGGTGGCCTCAAACCATGTGCCTTCAGGACTGCAGCACAGCTTCTTGCCACTAGGCCACCAGAACTCTCGCTCATAAAGTCAACAGATTGTACAAACTGACTTCCACTGCAGTCACTTCCTGTCCGCTTACTTCTGTGAGTCCAATTTCCTGAGCTTTCTTCCTTAGTTGCTTCTGTGAAGAAGTTCCACTCTTCCAGCAGTTAAACTCCACATAATTTAGCATTTGCCTAGCTCCTGTCTTGATTGTTCATGAGGGTGAGGGTTAGTTTTAGAGTTAGGTGAAGAAGTGAAGGGTCTATGACCTTGTCACTCCACAACCAGATTGGAACAATGATAGCTCACAGACATTCGTTTGTTCATCCCATCACAGTAAAAAATTTCCAGTGATGGTCTTTTATTAACAAGACTGGGACAATAAAATTCATTGTTCTGAAATGGTGGTGGTGGTAGGTGTTGTCAAGTCAGTAATGACTGTGTCCTAGACAAAATCTCATACCCTTCTCTACTGTTGCTTTCTCACTAACATCCAAACTATTCCAAAGTAAATGAGGAAAAGTTTCAGCAGACACATTCTGGCTATACTTCTGCCCAGAGAGATTCATTCTTTCTACTGGCATCCAATTCAATAATGTATAAGTAATCATGTTATCCAACAGCACAACTTCAATGTGCTATTGTTTTTTGTCTGCACATAACAATAACTACAAACAACAATCCAGATTTCCTACAACTGGGCAGAAGAAGAAAGAATTGGTAGAATGAAGGTGTTTCCTGGGAAGGAAGGAATTGTGATGCCAACCCAAAGGCAGACATTGTTAATCCACCAGCTGCTTGTCCGGAGGTTGGGCCATCTCCTCCCACGTGATTTATGGCCTCTGACAACACACTGGAGGGTCGGCTGAGAGTCCATCCTGACCCAATGACAATGAGAGAGGGGGTGAAGGCCCAAAGTTATATACAAAGGGCACACTGTGTCCAGCCCACCACTCTGTTTCTCCTTACTGCCCCAATCCCCCTCACTGGCTGAAATAGAAAAGCTCATTCACTTAGAGAAAACTCTACTCTTCAATACTCTAAGAAGGGTCAACACCAGAGAGTGAACCCAAGAGGCTGGTCTTCTCCAGATGCATCACTGGAGTTCCGTGAAGCCTTTGGGATCTAACCTCTCCGGTAACTAGGATGGCCATCCCATAGGGCAGTGCGAGGCAGTCACTCACCAGACTCACCAAGGTTTCCCCTCTCTCTCCTGCCTTCCTGAATCCAGGGCAGATAATCTACTCCCACAAAGTAGTGACCAGTATCAGTAGTACCCATTCAAACCAACAGTCCACCAAAATAGAAAAGAAAGCAATAAAAAGGTCCCAAGAAATACACAAAGGGCTGGCTTTCCAAATGGCTACAATGTCAAAGCCATGAGAGGTGGCAGTTTTATCCATGTTTCTTAGTGGTTTCTAATCTTCCAGAAGGCACCTGGGGCAGGGCTGGTTTCTCAGGTACAGAGGCCACTGACCTCACAGCCCCCACCCAATCTCTGAGACCCCTAAAGGAAAGACCAGGCCAAAAAGAAATCTGAGTCCCATGAAAGCCCTTCACCCAGGCCCCTTCTCATCTCCCTGAAACTGGCCTTGTGTGGTAAGGTAAACAGGCTCAGGCCTGGGACCCTGCCCTTTGGACCTTTTGCAATTCGCTAGGATCTCTTTAAGCTAGGGTTCTCCAGCTCTTATATAAATAGGGCGCTGTCACCTCCAAGCCACTCGCACCTCAGGCCAAGAGGTGGACATCTCCCAGGGAAGCAACAGATCCAGCAGTGAGGGAGCGGCTTGCACCCACCGGCTTGGCCATGGGCCCTCTGAGGCCCGCGCTGCTGCTGCTGCTCGCAGTGGGCGCCTTGGCCCGTGAGTAAGGGGTCATGGGACAGCACGACTCTGCCTGTGCTGGGGTGGGGGACCCTTCCCCACCCAGGGGAGCCCTCTGATCCTGGACTCCCAGGCAGACATGGGGCTGCTTGGGATGAGAGACTGGAGGAACGGGTACAGTCCAAAAAAACCCTTGTAACAGCCATGACTAGAAACCAGTGACAAGAAAAGCTTAGCTTTGGGTCCAAGGGAGGGCACCCTCTGGTCTGGACTTCCCCAGAGACAGGGCACTGGGGGATGGGGGTGAGGGGTGGGCGTGGGGGGTAGACAGTGCTGACTGGGTGGCTCCTCCAGGCTTGGGATGGTGAGGTTAAGAGAACTGGAGAATGACCTTCTAGAACCCTCATTTCCTTATAAAAAGGAAAAGATCCACCACGGGTCTTCACCTGACAGACTCTATTTAGGGCCCGTTTTCTGGAAACATGTGGGAAAATCCATGGTGTTTTTTTATCTTTTCTTTCAGAAGAGGAAACAAAGGAAAATATCCCCCAAAACTGTCCATGTAAGTCTTCCCCCCTCAAGGGCACTCTGCAACCCCAATCCTCCTTCCCTACCTCCGCCTACGATGAGCCCCCCACTCTGTAGTGCCTGCCTGGATGCTAAGGGGAGGGGAGGGCTACAATCTAATAGGAGATTAGGGAGGGAACAAGTATTTTTTTGCCCATCCCCCAGTTACCTCAACTCTCTTCTTCCTGACCTTTTGTTCTGACCCAAATCTCAGTTTAGGGGGAGGGGGTAAATGGAGCCCTCACTCCATTGCCTCCTGGACACTTTAAGGTGAGCAAAACCATCCTGCTTATCAGTAGCTAATCATTGATCTGAAGTGTGTTAGGATGAGGAAATGCTGACTTTAAACACAGTGCAAAAATCCAGACCCCTCACCCCCGCATATTTACCTGACCCTAAGGGTCAAAGCAGCAGGCCCTAGTAGCCTGAGTGCAGCGTGGCCTCCCATGAGGTAGCACTGCCATCTGGTGGAATTTTAGTATTACTGCAGATACATTCACTATCAGACGTTATGTGGGTCAAATTTGTACAGAAAAGTATTCTCAATTACAATATAAATACCCAGAACTTTATTCCTGAAGATTTCTTAAGTTTTTAAGGTATCCCTAATCTTTATTAATTTTTTATCCCTAAAGCATATGTTAGAATAGAAAACTAAAATTTTGTTTTCAAATTGGAAGAGTCTATAAAGATAAACCGATCCTTCGCTTAATGCTGTCAGATCTTAATTTTTTTAATGCAATATATTTTTTACAGAATATTCTTCCTATTTCATTTTTTTCCCATTTATTCATTGTTGCACGTTTTCTTCCCTGCCACACCTTCCCCCACCCCCAGTTTGCTTTTTCCTTTGAAAAGAAAAAAAAATCATTGTTGTATCTG